ACTATTATTAGTATCGATGCTCCATCACTGTAAAGACTGACACTGACTCATCGGACTTAGAAAAATGAGATTTGGTTGGTATTCAATAAGTGTTTAATCTATTCTGAACGGATAAAAACCGATGAGATGATGGCATGTCCTGCCTATATATATACCTTCTTATTAGTATCTAATTGTACAGTTAGACTTACTGAAATTATCTGGTGAAATACGAGTAAACTTTAGAACACAGGTCATTGCAGGGCCGGCACAGTTGGGGGCTGGCGTCACGATGCATCGCGTGACCACTCAATAGCTGCCTGCAAATTGCACATTACACGCGGCTGCATTCGCCCATTAGTGCATTCCCACAGATTACTTCATCGCGAAACCGACCATGGAAACTGTTACATTTTTTACACGCAAAATTATTAATTCTAAACGATGCTTTCGATGAAAACGATAAATTACCTATCGATAGCAAATTGCGTGTGATCACACAGACTATCAACGCAATTCCAATCCAAAAAAAAATTTGAATTGTTAGAATTGGTATGGATAGTTTATATAAATTGGTACAATTAATGAAATTGATTTTAAAATCACAGTACGCCGAACATTTACTACTCATTCCATTTGAAAATACTTCAGCAAATGAATCAAATAATATTCCATAACCCGAACCGCGATTGTGAAGCAATAATAACATTTCAATGATTATTACCACAAATCGCTTGGAAAGGGTTTCATTAACATTGTACGCTGTGAAATATTACAGGCATAAGCTTTTTCCTATATTGCTAAGAGACCGCCGCAGGTCACACTGATTACTTATTGATGACTTCGGGGCAACGCCACTGGCCTATGATAAATTTGGACCAAATTGTGTCATTGATCCAAAAATTCGATGCCGTTCGCCCTTCGCAAAGTACAGTACTGATAAAACATTCAATAAATTGCACATAGTGTTAAGTATTTCGTTAATAACAGAAAGATTTTTTGTTTTTGTTGTTTGTGTAAAACCTCCATTTTTTTCCAATCTTTTCGGTCTTCGGCATAATGTTTTGAATTTTTTGACCATCCGCGCACTCTCCTCCCATAGTACGATGTATGCTCTTCGTTCCTTGTTCATACTACTAACTTACCCCACCTAACGACATTTTAGATTTCAGCGTCGCTGCGTATTTGCCCACTTCGACAAACCCGGTTTTAGAGTGAATCGTAATATTCCTGACACTATCTGTCAGTTGCAAGCCTGCCTGGAATTTTTCGCTCCCACTGTTCTGCTTTGGCAAACCTTTTTTTGTTTTTCCATTTTGCGAATCAGCCTGTAACCAAGATTATGGGCGTCTTATGCGATGACGGGTTAGACTAGTATTTGTGGTCTGTGGGTTAGACATACATGTCAATGAGTTTTCATTTTTAACAACAGTATCCATATTGCATTGTTTTATTTTAGGTACCTACAATGTTTTAGATGTTATTAGTTAAAAATAACATAATAGTTATTTTGAGGTTGGTACTTATATTTATTATTAAGTTCCACATGAAAATTTAAAAAAAATTATTAATTAGAAAAATCACGAAACTTCGTATTATTTTTATATCAAACGAAAGCAAGGTTCTTTGACCCTGACAAACATGACCAATTTATCAGTTTCTAATACTTAGTGGTCGTGAAAAAGATGCAATTTATTCATAGAAGCTCGCTGCGGACTAAACGGTGATTTGAGTCGGTGTCTACTGTTCGGCGTGCATGACGTATTGATCTATACCGTATCGATTCAAACCTTAGCAAATCAATATTAACAAATATAATGAAGAAACGATTTCTCGCACTATGTCTACTACGGAGACAGAATTTGCAAATACAATTAGCCCATTTTTTTAGTATGTTATATTAAACGTGACAACTAAATCGTAGATGGTTAACCCTCTGTGAAATTGACAGCTAATTCTAAGAGCTAAAGCTAATTAATTATGGCAACAGTGCCGTTTTTGTCCTGTTCCGATTAGCGCAAATATTTACATAGAATTAAAAACCAAAACATATTCCTAAAAAAGGGAGGAACGAAAATCACTGCCACGGAATAGAAGTTGAGGTTTTACCTTTCCTATAATAACAACTTTACATTTAAGGGGGTCATTCAAAATCAACATTTAGAGCGGGTTACGAAATTTTATTGATGATATCAGTAATAAATGTTAATATCTATTGATATTTAATGTACCATAATAGTCGAGTCAGTACACTAAAATCTTTAATCGATAATCGAATTCAATGGATAAGTAGATTTCAATAGACGAGATTTACCGATCGTGACCAATAATGAGATATCTATCTGGGAACCTATCTTGTTTGACGGAACATCGTCATTTTGACTGCAACTTTCCATTGGCATTTGAACATACAGTAAATAAATTTTTATTATTGCAATAACTAGACAAAGTGCAGATTAGTAACGTAAACTTGCTGGAAAAGTTATGGAGGTAGCGATCGATTCGATCGATCGATCTTGTACTATCACGGCTGGCTCGAAGTTATATTTACTATGGCAGTTTTGCGCGCATATTTAGGCGCATTCATATTCACGAACAAAAACAAAGTTCTAAACGACTTCAGCAACAATAAATTTTGTAATCAGTATTAAGGTTTCCAATTAATTAAAAGGATATTAATACACAATAACAAACTTCTTAAGGACCACGCAGTACCACCATCTGAGGCGCTCCTTAAAACAACTTTTTGTTGTCAAAGGAAAATTTACAGAAAGTTAACTCTTTTATAAAATATGCATTCCGGAAAGATTTGTGGGTATTTATATTGTTAAAATTTGTAGTTCGGAAAACACTTTTAAATCTCGAATGTATGTCACATAATTAAATTAGCTATAGGTGATATCTGCGAGGCGAAATAACGAGCACAGTTATGTACATGTTGTTCTTAGTCCGTACAAGGTATGTTTCGCCTGTTGTAGGTTTTTCGTTGGCAAGCTTGAGCGCACTTGACATTTTACACATAACAACGTCTAGTATACTATAGTAAGCTCTAACCCAGTCGTTCAAATACTCGATATGTCGGTGAGTGAATGTCTGCAATATGAAACTCTAAAAAGGGCAAAAACTGATATTGGCTATCGATTGCAAGAGTTACGAAGTCAAATTGAGTATTCCGATGCAAATCTCAATTGCAGTTTCTAGACAATGAAAATGACCGGAAAAGCAATATTAACGAAATCTGATTTAAAAGTATTCCGCCGTTGGAGGGAAAATTTAAAAATACCTACTAATAAAATTTTAAACATGATATATACTGTGTAGACAAGCATATTGTATAGGTAGATGAGTTATATTTATGTAGGTACCTATAACTGGCACACAAAGGTATGCAGCCGCTCAAGGCATGTCTGCTAAACTGGGTGGATTTCTTGCGCGCCCGGTATGGGTGAAGACGGCGATTTTCATTAACCTGAAATGAGAAAAATGTCGCAGTTGGCGCATTTGTTCCTTGTTTAGAAGCGGTAGTTTGTCGGGTAACGGTTATAAAATGTTAATATTATTACATAAATGTTATTGTAAATATTATTTTTTCTTACTACGGTTTTTCATTTGTAAAAATTTATTTAAATGTTAGATTATTTTGATATTAGGTATTTAGATATTTTTTATCTAGTTTTTTGTTATCTACGTAGAGATGTTACTGATAGTGTTCTTCAAAACTACAATTAATAGATTTGAAGATTTACATGTTACAAACATTACGTAAGGTTTGTTTGAAAAAACAAATATACGCGATTTAAATCCGGAAAAATAGTTTCATTTCCTATTACGTAAGCTAATTAACTGCCTCTGTGGCCGAACGGTTATCGCGCTGGACTTCCACGCAGAGGTCTCGAGTTCGATTCCCGTGTCGGGAGAAATATTTGTAAGGCAGGTAATTTTCTCTCGTGAGTTGGGGTGCAATTTGTGGTTGCCTATGTGTGTCCATGGCACCCGCGATACAGGGTTTCCTTAGTGCGGGGCTATGATTCCGTGCATTATTATTATTATTAATGAATATTTAATCAGATTCCAAAATTTTTTCTTAAGTTACAACTGTGTGTAAGCCGTGATACCGTGAAAGATTAATTTGTTTTGTTATTTTCACAATTATATAATAAAATAGCCTAAGGTAAAATAAACTCTACTGCGATCTTAGTTAAAGCGATACTAAATTTAACTATCGTAAACAAGTAGGTATGTACAACGTTGTTTATATCATAGAAAGTATTGTATCTATAAATAAGTAATTATAGTCATTTATCAAAAATGAGCAGTGCTGCCTCCTAACGAATTTAATTAAACTATCTATCGATAACGCAATTACCGAGAAGATGGAATTAGTGCGTCGTCATGATGATGCACCGTTAGAGAAACTTTTATTAAATTAAAGTGGCTGTCAGCTAACTGTTGTGCATATCTTGACTTGCTTTGATGAGGGTAATACATTCATAACTAACCTTTTTTGTTTTATTACTGAAATTAACACTTGCACAACGAATAATCGAATTAATAGTTGATTGTCTCGCATGACGTGATGGAAAAGTAGTTACAAACTTATCGCTTGTGTTATCTTCGCAGAGAGAATTGGCAGTCACTTTCACTGCTTTCAGTTCGTCAGCCGTGAAACCTTCCAGATGTTAGAGGGGCTAATGGAAAGTTATTATTTTGTAACTCTATCTGTGCAATGCACGTGAGCATGCAAAAGGTTCCTAAGACGAAGCCAACTCAAGTGACAAGTGTTACGGAATAACCTAATTCAATTAGGCCGGAGAAGTGGCTTCACAACCGCAATAATACACGTCAGTAGAGTTGTGTCGTCTGAAAACGAAAGTGTCGCGTAGGTTCTAACAATCAGGAAAATATTTGCAGCACGCAGGTGATAAAGAAACTTTTCTGGTATCGAAGAAATGTGAAACTTTCTTCGAGATCGAGCGCAGCACGGTGTCAAGTGCGATTATAACCAACATTGTGGCAGGGCCGGTGAGAGCGCGGCCCGGTTGCGACCGGTCGGCCCCACCGCCAGCGCGCGCGCACACGCCGCTCTGCGCCGTCGACGTCGCGACGCTCGCTCGTGTTGCGCCCGCGCCCGTGACTCGATCTCACCGCTATACATCAACATCATTCCTAAGTTTGCATCCACAATAACATTTTTTTTCCACGATTTATACACAAGTGATCTCACAATGTTTTTAACGTCTGCAAGTGGTTTTGGACAATAAATCAGTGTTTCTTATTTGTCGGCACGAAGGAAAGTTCCTTTACGATTTGGGCGGCGTTCCTCGGGGATCAAGGGTAAGTTGAATAATTTATGTTCGACCTAGAGAATCGTGACGTAGGCGCGACGTAAACAATGGTGGGTGCGTAATGTACAATTATGTGGGTTTCCCGTGTTGAAAAGGGGGCTAAGGTCAGTGAGGCGACCGTGCGTGGTAATGAGATTAGGGGCGGCCGAGGCTGCGAGCCGACGCGACCGCGATCTCGCGAGTCCTGGAGCGCTCGCACCCGCCCGTACTCTTCACCCCTCTCCCGCATTTCCCGCCGCCCGCTGCACCCTGCTACCTTTTCCCGCCCGCCTTACGCTTACGTTACTCACTGTAAATTCTAATATATAATAAATGTAAAGAAAAAATATGTTAAATTAAAACAAATTGATATGTATATTGCAGAATGACTTCATTTCCATTTACAATTTTGACATCAAAATATGTAGATCTCGAAGCAAAATCGATAACTAAATACAGCAAAAGAGCTGTTCAGTGGTCCCGCTGGGCAAATTGTTGGAAAGGAATTCGAAGAGATTGTTCAGTTGCAATTACAGACACATTCAAAACGTGCGTTGTCCTTATCAAGTAACTAGGTAGTATTGCAAGTTTCATGACACGAATGGATTTCAATTGTCACGATCACGATGTAATTGATTGGCGCAAAATGTGGTATGTGGGATTGGCCGCGGATGAAATCATCACTTTGTATCGCGTAGTTGTCCGTATGAATACCCGTCATAGTGATTCTTTATGATTACAAAATTATGTGCAAATATAAACAATAGAGACGTAATTTATATATACAGAAGACGGACGTCGTCTGACGCGCTATTTGTCGTTTTCTATAGATAATCACTCATATATGTAAAATCGCCAAGTTACGTGTGTGACGGGCGCAGTGGCGGAGCCCCTATGATTTTTGCGATTTAAAAATAAAGTGATACTGCAACTTTTAGGAGTAGGCCTGTCGCATATCATAATAAAATTGTTAATTTAGCAGGTATCGAGCGAAAACAAAATTTTGGCCTTACAATACATTCCTTTGCAAAAAAAATAGGCACTTGGACCATTCTCAAAAAAGCACTTGAAACAGTAAAAAAAACAATGTTTTTTTGGTATGAATCAAAGTAGTCTCAAATGAAAGGTACCGTATCGTACAATATGTTTCAGTTAAGAACCTAGCTATTATCACTGCAGTTTTCATGAAAAAAAGGAAAAAAGAAATCACGCTTCAACGGAAGTGACACAAGTCTAAAATTAATTTAATAAAAAATATATAATATAAAATAATAATATAAAAATTAAAATTAATCTAATATGTCATTACCATCTAATATGGTTTACTGTTGAATAAAATGTATTTTTTACTTAATTATCTTTATTTACCTAATCACTTAGATACTGATTAAATTTTAGGCATTTTAAAGTATTAGGTATATTCAATCATGTAAATTCTATATTATTAAAATATTTTTTTTTTGGAACTTTAACACAGTCTTCTATTCAGTTTTTAATATCAGGTCACATGGGTACCAGTATGTCTAATAATAGTTTTAATTATCAATATTATTTACTTAACACTTCGAACTTTTAGAATGAAAGTGGTCAACACAAAATTTTTACTTTTTGGGAAAATGCAAAATAAGTTATGATGTTGTGACATTTTCACATTATCTAATTTTTACCGTTGGAGTACAAAAGGCAATGGCCTTATTAGTCTATCATGGTCCACGGTAAAATAATGATGAAATATTCAGATTTATAACATGAAAAATTGTTTAACAATTAAAAAAAAATGTAATTTACAAAACACTAATTACTATATGGTCACTATTTACTGAACTTTTTTGTTGTCATTTGACCTCATAAAAAAGTAAGCCTCTTCATTTTTACCAGCTAAGCAAGATGTTATTACTATTATCAAAATTAAGCCATTTTAATTATAAAAGAAAGTCCTCTACGTAATAAAGTTAGTCCCAGTGCCCACTGACAGGACGGGACGGCAAGGGATTTTTAGGTGATGAGTAGTAATGTACCTGAAGATTATGCCTTTATAGTTGCAATTTTAGTGATAATGATCGTAGCTGCAAAATGATGCTGCGATATGCTTATGCATGCCGAGCCTCCAGCCTCTGGAATGCCTAGACAACCTCCGGAATGCCTCAGCAACCTTATGGACGCCTCGGCAACATTAGGGATGCCTTGCCCATTTTAGAGATGCTTCGGCAGCCTTATGGATCCTCGGTAGCCTTATGGATGCCTCGGCAGTATTTTGAATGCCTCGGTAGTATTATGAATGCCTCGGTAACCTTAAGGATGCATCGATAGGTTTCAGAACGCACGCTCCGCGTCGCCATTGATCACCATTAGCTTGACGCCATGCAACTATAGCATTCAATACACGTCACGCACATATGTAGCGACGGTACGCTTCAGCACACCTAAACATGCCTAAGGATACCGTGGCATGTTTAAGGATGCCGCGACATAAATGCCGTCAGTGTGTGCTTGCATATAGGGTTACTGAAGGATCGACTGCCGTCCCGTCCTGTCAGGGTACGCCTTTAGTCTAAATCCTATTTGTAAAAGAGTCTAAGGATGATTTTTTGGAACGGAAACGTCTCAATTCTATTCGGCTAACTTCACCACTGTTTCAAAAATGGTGGTGGCGATTACTTTTTGCAGTCTTCAATCCAATCCTCTTTGGGTATGTTGTACTACCTACTGTCACTTTGTGAATCAAGTCTCTTATGCAAGTAATTTACCAATAGTGATGGAGATGAGTATCTGGATAATGAAAGACATCTTGAAACATAACAAGAAAGGCTGAAATGGGATCCGAAATCACGTGATTTACCTTTCGTGGGTTATTGCGAAAATACGAAAGGTTACAGACTGTATGACGCAAACACTAAACAGGTAGTTGTCAGCAGGGATGTGATATTTATCGAAAAATGCACGAGTGCAAATAAATTCATACTTGACCCTGAACGAATGTCAAGGCTTAGTACCGTGCCTCTACCTTCACAAATCGTGAGTACATACACAGATAAGCGTACTAAAAAGAGAGAATCCACAGAATTAGACGCAGGATGTTACTTTATCACCGGATACTTCTTTTGACAGTTGCGCGAATAGAGCAAGTGATGATGAAACTTACTGTCCTAATACGAGTGACGATTATGATAGTAACGAAAGATTTGAGCGGACTATCACTTTGAAATTGCATCAGAGAGGTAATAATTTCATGTGTATTGAAGAGATTACAGATCCATTCACTGTAAATGAGGCTTTGTCGAGCACCAATTCAAAAAATTGGAAAGACGCAATGGATGAGGAGTAAGAATCCTTAATGTCAAACAATACTTGGGAACTTACAAGTCTACCTGCTAAGAAACGCATCTTACCATGTAAATGGGTGTTCAAGACAAAAATCAATGAAAAGGGTGATATAGTAAAGTATAAAGCACGACTGGTAATAAAAGGTTGCTCACAGAAGAAAAGAGTCGATTATAATGAAGTTTATTCACCGGTTGTGAGACGTGCATCTCTGCGGTACTTGTTAGACATATATCAAATGGACGCTGTATCAGCTTTCCTCCAAGGAGATATAGACGAAGAGACTTATATGGTCCAACCTACGATGTATGAGAAAAGTGATCAAGTATGTTTATTTAAAAAATCTTTGTACGCATTGAAACAGGCAAGAAGACAGTGGAATAAGAAGCTTGATTTTTTATTGAAGGCTATGGGTCCTTGCAGTCAAAATTAGATCCTTGCCTTTATCAAAAGATTGTAATCAAAGAGAATATGTTATTTGTGGCTCTTTATGTTGATGCCTTGTTGATATTCACAAACAATCAAATGTCTAAAAGCTTCATTAAAGAACAGCTGAACAAACATTTTAAAATGTAAGATCTTGGTAATGTATGTTATTGCCTTGGCATACATGTGACAAGAGATAGAAAGAAAGGTGTCATATATTTAGACCACGGAAAGTACATACAAGAGGTACTTCATAAGTATAGAATGACAGATTGTGAAACCGTCAAGACTCCTATTGATATGGGTTCAAAGATGCTAGAAAATCGTGAAGAAACAAAGAAAGTCTTAGGTGATATACCTTATCAAGAATTATAGGTTGTTTACTGTATATATCGCAAGTTACGAGGCCAGACATGAGCTTTGTTATTAACATGTTAAGCAAATTAATAACAAGCCTGAAGAATGCAACATTGGATCGCTCTGAAGCGTGTGATACGGTATTTGAAAGGAACACAGGATTTCAAGCTCTGTTACAAGTGCAATCCTGGTGAAATCATGCGGCACGGTAACTATGATGCTGACTGGGTAAGTTCAAAGATGATGGGGATATGTTTAAGGGATGTTGGAGCGTAAACATACTCCTTGTTCGAAGCACGATGACTTTAGTGTCACACGTAAAAAATGATTCTCTCATAACTGTCTTCTCTATCAAATTGTACTTTCTTTTTTCTTAATATTTCTACTTCTATATTATATTTGCGTTAACATTGCTAGTTCGTATTATTTCCCACAGTATATAGTGACCATAGTAACTAATTTTTCAATATTAATTATCCCTACTTTGTTATTGTGTAGACAGGACACTCTGTTGCTTATTAATCTATGATATTGAAGTGTTTGTGTCTTTACCGCACGTCAACGAAACACAGCGTGTGTACGGAATGCCGAATCTAGTACGCTAGTATACAAATATCGTTGCTTAATTTAGAACTCCTTAGTAAACAACTGACGTTACTTTTTCAAATTAACTCAAAAATAAAAAATCGAAGACATTTAATTCTTGTAATGGAATACAAGAAAGAGATTACTCTCAGTCTTGGCTGTATGGCGCATTTAGTGCCTTTGCCTTTTCCAATGGAAAAAACAGTACCAAAAAATAAATAAATAAAAAGTTAGGTGAGGTTGATAAATCGCAAAGTCCGGACTTATCAACCCGCCCCTTTATTAATGCAACAAAATGAAATAACAATTAAAACATTAACA